CTCTCTCTCTCTCTCTCTCTCACACACACACACACACACACACACACACACACACATACACACACAATGCCCTTTTCAGTAGTCACCAGCCTCACAAAGCCCACCGTGCAGTGATGGTTCCCGCGCACACGCGTTTAGATCCATTTTTTTACGCATGCAAGAACCCGCGTTTCTGCTCTTTCAGATTGATAAAGAGAAGGTTTTGCGTGAGCGTGCACGAGTGAGCGTGCGCGCCAAAGTGCTCCCAGTGTTAAACATTTCACTGGCCTCCTTCTATAATCTTCATCCTTTTACATTTATGATTGATCGTTTGTCTTCTTGCGCAAAATATTCCCTAAAAATCAAGACAACAAACCTGAAAAAAAAAAAAACAGACAAACAAATAAATAAAAATCTAGATGAACTGGATTTGGGATAACGTTTTAACCAAAGCTGAAACACAAATATCAAAGCCACACGCAGCCCTGCTCTGGATGTTGGTGGCTTCAGGAGACGCAGCTCGCGCCGTGCATAACAATTGCACCTGTCAGTGTGGACCGCGGGCAGAATTTATGACCGCAAATGTTCTGGTTGTAAAAACGGCCTCAGAGAGGAATGAAAAGCAAAACACTCCTCAAGACCCTCAGAAGCCGTGAGAGGTGTAAAACTATGAGCGTAGGAGGAAGGCAAGGGCCAAGAATTTCATACTGGGCGACTTCTGGGTTTATAAAACAAGCCTCCATCCTGGCTGAGGGGCGAGTCTGCAGCTTAAACACAGAGAGGAGGAAAAACGGAGCTGATTTTGGGTTGTTTTTTTCATCCCGATGGCGCATCTTTTGGATACAATTATGGCGTTTCCAAAAAATACATTTTTTTTTATTTATGCTGATGACTGCAAACATGATGGATTATTCCTCCTCACACAAAAAACGTTTTATCACTCAATGGATTTAATCCAGGCGAAGCTAAAAAAATAAGGGGGGTGGCGGGCATCGAAATTGGACTCTGGCCCTGCGTAAAGAAATACGCGCACTGAGAAAGTTGAGGCCATTCTTCATGCTACTTTTGGTGATTTAAGCCTCCTGTGAAACACTGGGAGCGTAAATATGCAGCCTAATAACGGATCAGCCCCTGTCGCCTTGTTAGCACTCATCTGCGTTGTGAGCTTTATTATTATTATTATTATTATTATTATTAAAGATGTGTTACTCACCGAAATCTGTGCAGGTCTTTTTTATATCCCTCACACATTCATCACTGCCTCCATCTCGACCTAGAATAAAAAATACAAGTAAATAAAATGTTTTTTTTTTCATTTGTTGCGTTTTTCCTCACAAACCTCTAATGTGAAGCTGAATTTAAAATATTAACCTAAATAACCACATTCCTGCTATTATTGAATTTATATATTTTTCATCTTATATTATACTCTGAAAAAAATGTTCCAATACAAATCCCTTTTTAAAAAAATATTTTTTTTCTGCAAGGACCTCCTGAGTTTTTTTTTTCCAAAGATGTTGCTTTCAGTTCCTTGAGAATGAATAAAAAGTCCTACATGTGCACTTTCACACAAAGAGCCAGGCCGAGCATCYAGCAGCCATAAGCTGTTTTCAGGTGACCTGCAGGTCATTTTGCATTAAGCCAAAGTTTAATGAACAACGAGCATTTTCTTCTTCTTTTTTTCCCTTTTTAGCTTCAGTTTAAAGTCTCAACCCAGAACAGACCACTCAACTCTGCAGAGGTGAGAGGAGACGCTCCACGGACAGAAATCAAAACCTTAGATTTTTTTCTCATTTTTTTCCCCCACAAACGGAGTAAAAAAATATCTTCTTTGTATTTCAGGATGTTTGGTCGTTATATATAAGGTTTCTTTTTTTGGAGTGATGTGGATTATTTAGGAGCTAATCTGCGCCTCCAGTTGCTGTTGAGCACACTGAGATTCTGGTAGCAGACAAGCTTCCCTTTTCACACCGCTGTGTTTTCCGCCTACGCGCTGTCACGGTGAGTTTGGTCCACACAAAGGCTCGGGACTCAAAGTGGAGGGTTATTATCCCACGGAGTCGTTCCTCCAGCATGACTTCAAGCCTTCAAACTCTGTTTAGAATATACATATATATAAAACAACTCGTATTGTTAGAGATTAGATTAAAATATTTCACAATTATTTCTTTGAGGGCACCAAAAAGAGTAATCATATGATGTCTGTTTGCTGAGGAAAATACTCAATTTATTTTTGCAGCATAATTGCTATAAATTTAATGTTTAAATTTTCAAGCCTTGAGATTAAACACTCAAAAGGAGGGATAAAAATATTCACAAATTAAAACAGTTACATGAAAGTGAGCAAAAATGTTTAAATATAAAAAAATTCAAACCGGATGTTTGCTCTTAAAAAGAAGGAAAATAGTAATAATTTAAGTGGTTATTAACACCATTTATTTAGAAATAAAACTGAGTTATTTCCCTGTAATGTTACTCTTCATTTAGTCCAGTAAATCCCCACRCATGAATTTATATGTGTATAATATAATGTTGCGGGCTAACAAAGCCATATGGTAGAAACCACATAAATCACAGCAACGCCAGTGTGACGATAAGACAACAAATTAATGTGATTTACGATCCAGGAGTCAAAAACAGAAAAATAAAAAAAAAAGTTTCACTCCTTCTTCCTCTTCTGAGCCGTTTATTTTTTTTCAAAAACGAAGAAAAAAACAAGTTCAGTGTCGATGAAATTTGAATGGATAAGCGTAAATGCGCAGCTCCACATCCAACACATTCACGAGCGTGCCCTCCTCAGATGGGATTGAAGCCTAATATATTTCCTTGCATTGCATTAACCCGTGGTTAAAGGTTGCTTTGTGCCGTGCAGTTCGCTTACCTGCGAATCAATTCATCATAAAGCGGTCTTTCCTCTCACTTCCTGTTTCCACGCAGCCTCTATGTAAGAATAAATCCTTCGCCTTCTTTTGTCTGCGGACAGCCGCTGTCTTAAACCTGATCTTGCTGTTTTTCAGACATTTCCATACACCAGTGGAGACAGAATTCCCGAAAGAATGGAAGGACTCGCGTTCAGCTACCAATAAAAAGCGAACAAGGTATCCTTATTCCAGAGGAGAAGAAGAAGAAGAAAAAAAATCGCTGGCAATCAATCAAACACTGGAATACAGAGGCCTGTGTAGAATTGCAGCCATTGCATTTGGATTTTTTTTTTTTAGGTGGGTGATTCGGAAGCTTTATGATGACAAATCAAGGCACTGCCTTTAGATAGAAGCATATTTGTTCACGTGACGGTTCTCCTCCTCAGCCTCACCGGTCCATTTTTGATAAAGGGTGGCGTTTATGTCCTCGTCTGCAGCTCTGTGTGATTGTGGAAATGTTCCTCATTCCTACTTCCTTCCTCGGGATTCCTACTTGTCTCCTCTCCAGCATTTACGCACACATGCTTTTTCTTTATGGGTAGGGGGGGTGGATATTAATAAAGCACATTTACGCATGTTTAGCCACCATCACTGTGCTCTGACTGCAGCATCTTTATGCAATGCATGCGTATAAAATGATACTTTCATGCTAAAAAAAAGGCTCAAACTCTTCATCAAATTTGGAGATTTRTGAGTAAACTAAAACAAGCAGGAATTACCGCAATAAAACGCACAAACTGAGCCTTTTACGCATCGTGTCCAAGTGTGTGTTTTGAGCTTGTGAAAAAAAGCATTTCCTGGTTGGAATATCGTTTAAAAATGATTTATGAAATAAATGACGTGTGGGTGTTTTTTTTTCCTTGCAGCTGGGCATGGATTGTATTCAAATAAAGCACATTATCATCCTGCGTTTGTTTTGTGTCTGCCTGCACACCTTGCTGTAKAACACAAAGAGACACACAGTCATGGCTGCTATTGTTTTCTGCATCAATCACAGGCTTCATCAAATAATGGCGATGTTTAAAAAACAATAAATCCTCAAAAGAAGAAGAAAAAGCAGATASGCAAGAAAGAGCGTGCCGCCTGCATTTGCAAAAAAATTTCTTTCTTGTTCATGGATCCGCAGGAAGAGGTCGGCTGCTTCAGTGCTTGTGGGGGTTATCTTGAGGGAAGAGGGGAGTAAAAAGGATGCAGGACTGGTAGCGTCGCAGCATATGTTCAGAGAGGTAATAAAAGTGAAAGATTTACAGTTTTCGCCCGGCCCCCCTGCAGCCTCGCACCCTTTAAGGAATTACTGAGAGTGATTTACAAGGAGGCAGAACTGTCAGGCTGCCCAAACTTCCAGCACTTCTAAGAAATCAAAATCAAATCATCTCCCCCCTCTCTCTTTTTTGCTAAGAAAATAAAAAAAAGCCTCTGTCGAAAAGACGCAAAGGGAATTTAATCAAAGCTGCCTTTTTAATTTTTAGCTGCCTTTAATAAAACTGCAGATTTGCTATTTTTTCTGCACAATTATTAAAACCCCGATTTAAAACATTATTTAAAAAGTGATAAATTGGCCCACTTGTGAGGGCCAACCGTTACAGCGAGCATCCATAAATACATATCAGTGCCATTACTGTTACACCTATCAATCCTTTCATATACTCACGAGTAAAAAATTGCAAATTCCTTTCTGTTTAAATAATAAAAACAATAATAACAAAGGACATGCGTACTGCGGCGTACAAGCCACCAGCTTGCCACAATCCTACCCAGAGCGCACACATCACACGGAGCAATTCATCAAACATCACGACATTTGATATCGTCATTTACCAGCTCGGGCAACATGAAAAATGCTGAAATATTTACCTACCCGAGCATCCATCGGTTCAGACGTGCAGCTTTTTTACTGTCGCGCCGAGAAATCGGATATTATTTTCTTGGGGTGGGGGGGGATCTCTTCAGTTTTCAACTCTGATAGAGTCCTTGCGATTAATGACGACGCCGTGTTTCTAGGGGGACGTGCTGCATTAATTATTTAGACAATCACGTGGTCGGGCATAGAGCGCGGAGTGGTATAGTCTCTGGATTATATCTCTGAATGCAGACAGCGCACTTTAATATGTCTTATAAGAAGGAGGGGGGGTTAGTTGGTTGGCTGGTTGGTTGTCTGGCTCGGAGAGAGGCTTCTGCTGGAAAAAAAACAGCTGGAAATCAAATATGGCCGGATGGAGAGCAGCGAACGTTGTATTCCTGCACCGGGTGTGTCATTGAGAATGGCACTGCCTTTGGCTCCCATTTATTGCTGCTCAGACATGTAGGTCAGTGTGGCTGCGCGCGCTGTGGAGCTGCTCTGACCTGATAACAGAGAATACAGCCTTCATTTTAAATTGTTTGTTTTTTATTTATTTATTTATTTTTATTCCACAGCGTTATCACCGTAAACAGGAAACACACAAACACGCGCGTTTCGCGCGCAAAAGCAACAATTTATTAACTTAAAGGGCTAGTAATGCTTATTAGTTGCCCCTTCCTCCCCCCTCCTCATCCACCTCCTCTGGTTTTGTTGCATCTTTGTGCAGATCGTGTTTGACAGGATGGTGGATTGGAAGCATCATTTTGTTTCTGCTTCCGTCTGAATCTATGTGACACGTGCTCATGTTTCACACATCTCTTCAAAAATGCATGAGCACGCACGTTAAAGGGTCCGCGTGCGCGCTCGGTGGCGCGGTCGAGCAGCCGTCCTGAGGGATGCAACAAAAAAAACCTGACTGACTGACTGCAGATTGTCTTTCCACATGTCCCTTTCTGTCCCTCTTTGTTTGGATCAGGCTTGGTTCTGTAGCGTGGAGGGGGTCGGAGGTCAGTGCTGCAGAGAGTCGTCCTCAATAAAAGCCACAGCTTGAGTAAGGATTTGATATTAACTTTAGTTTGAAGACTCTATACTGCACCCTGAGGTGGTATTAAGCTCTATAACAGCGTGTTGCGTTTTATCAGCTCACGTGAACCTTATTTTGGTTCTGGAGAGGAACCAGCCACCCCGAAAAAAGTTTATATCTGGTTTGTTTTAGGCTTTTAAAGACATTAAAGTAAATGTGGGTGGTAATTTTGCAGTGAAAAATCATGGAACCGCTATTTTTTTTATTATAGGCTAATATGAGAAGGAATATATCCAATTAACAAAAGACGTTTTTACGCACGACATGCGCTCCCATTTATAACAACTAAGTGATAGTTTTCACACAGAATAAAAGCTCAGTTTTCTTTCCTATAATTTCCCCCAACGATATCTAATTTTCATATATTTCGTATTTACAATTATTCAATAAATGCACATGTTAAGGCTGTTTGTTGTATATTTTCTGGCCTTTTTCGCTTTTTTTCGGTGCGCATTTGGTCGATTTGCGATTTTTCAGCTGTGCGTGTTTGCGATTTTGTCCACCAAAGTGGAAAATTCGGCAAAACCACTCAACACTCTACCAATCAATCAAAAATAAAATTAAATAAACAAAATAATGTGTGAGAAAATTATACATACCTGACTGCTTTGAAGAGGAAATGAAATGATTCCGTGAAGAAAATGAACACTCAGGAGAAAACGCCTTTACGCAAACGTTCAAAATGAATAATCAGTAGAAATCTTTTATTTTTTTTTATTTTTTGTTCCATATACTTCTCACATCTCAATGCTCCGTACAAGTTTAAAAAAAAACACGTACAAAAATCTGAACAGGACAAACAAAAAGACTGCGTGTTGATAGGAGGAGACCAATGCTGCTGGAACTTCCTCGGGGGGCATAAATACTAAACAAAAAACATACATGTAAAACAGTGGAATTGTGTGAGTGAAAGAGCTTTAACTTTTTCTTTAAAGAGTCCAACTCTCTCACTGCTCCAAAGCAAGATGAGGAGCGCCTGGGAGAGAAAATGCTGCTTGTCCGGCGGGTCAGGGGGGGGTGCTGGGGTCAGTCCTTGCGGCTGAAATGTGTCCCCTGGATGAACCTGCCTCTGCTGCTTTTGTCGACCTTCGGTTGAAATACCTTTTCAGCTTTCTCAAGACTTTAGAGAGGAGACCTCCTCAAACTGGAACAGCTTCTTGGCTTTCTTTTTTCTTTCTTTTTTTTTTTCTTTTTGTCCGAGGACAATGACGATATAAAACAAAAACAAAAAAAAAAAAGTCTTGAGACGTGGCGTGAAAGGACCTCCCTCCCTCAGTCCCTCAAAAAAAAAGAGAGATAAACAAAAAGAAATTCCAAATAAACCAAACTAAAACGTTGTAGAAACCCATGCTGATAATGCACAATGGTTTGAACATATATATTTATATTTGGAATAATAAAAGTTTAACGAATAATTTGTTTGTATTTTAATTAAAAAATGTGTGCTGTGCGCATAAATGTACACGTTTTTTTTGGAACAAATAAATATCAAGGAAACACAAAAAAATAAACAATCATACTCGTAAATATTCAGGATTTGTGTCTGAGGAGAAACAACCCGACAGAAATTTGGTGCCATGCAGGATCTGTGAAGAATATATGAGGGTCTCAAATAGCACGAGGGAAGCTCTGAAAATGTTTACAAAGGTGTCAGAGAGGGGAGATTTATAAGGGCCCCGCAGGAATGTATGTGGAGATAATTCTCAGGCTATAAGAAAAAAATTCAAAGCTATTTATTTTTGTACAAAATAAGTTAAAATATACAAATCACACAAAAAAAAGTTTTTCTATTTTTTTTTTGCAACTCGCAAACAAAAAAAAATACAAGGTTGAGAAGTATTAATGCAGGAAAAAGAGCGTCCTTCAAGTACCTTTATTGTGCGTTTAATAGGAGAAAAAACTGGATAATATTTGAAAAATTTCAACGAATTTCCTCTTTGTTGGGAAAATGTAAAAATGTTTAATTTAGACAAAAATGTCCGATGCTTGCTTTAAAATGCAAATCCGAATTAATGCTAAAAATAAAATTAAAAAAATAAACTGGTAAAATAAAAATAGAAATAAAAACGAGTATTTTTTTCTGTTTTTCGGGGAAACTTAAACCTCTCAATCACAAAGATTGGTTTGTTTTTGTGACTCTGTTTTCAGTTCATGTTTGTTAAATTAAGAAAAGAAAAAAAAACTTTAAACAGGAGTCCATGCTTAAAAGTCAGTTCTTTTTCTGTACATGTTCATTTTTTTTCCTGCTGCTTTTATAACGCTGTGATGTCAGTCTGGTTGTCCTTCTGCATGTGTTGCAGATGGCCCGAGGCCGGCGCGGATCTGCCCTTCGTGTTGGGCAGTTTGTGGTCCTTCTTCCACTTCATCCGCCGGTTCTGGAACCAGATCTTGATCTGCCGCTCCGACAGGCAGAGCGTGTGCGCGATCTCGATCCGCCGCCGACGGGTCAGGTATCTGTTGAAGTGGAACTCCTTCTCCAGCTCCAGGACCTGCTGCCGGGTGTAGGCTGTTCTGGACCGTTTGGGTTCCGATCCCGAGTAGTCCGGGTTCACTGCGAGAGAACAACAGCAACAAAAAATTAAAAATAAAAATAATGAAGAAAAAAAAGTGAGCAAATGTTGCCAAACCGCAGCAGAGAAACAATAGAAGTGGTCGGTTTGCAGCCGGTGCGTAAAAACTTCCAAGAAGTGACGCAAAGATGCGTTTTATCTTTATATAATCCGAATTTAAGCAGGTCTGCTGCAGATTTTCGAACATTAGCGGTCAATCTGTGCTTCCAGGCTCTTACCTAGCGGCCTATTTCCTGAGCTATAAAAATTTATGACTTGTGTAATTGTCGAGGCCTCTCAAAGACGCCTATAAATATTCCACTGAGTGACTTCTTAACTACAAGGCTCAGATGATCCATAAAGACATGGCAGGGGAAAAAAAGAAGAAAATCTTACCTGTGGTTACATGAACTTTCTTCATCCAGGGGTAAATTACTGTAGACTGCTTATTGCTTTGGATCCCATTTTGGCTCTTTGTGTTTTGCTGCTGCCCACAAGTCCGAGGACCGGCCACTTGGACCGGGGGCCCCTGCTGCTCAGTTTGTTGTGCGCCAAAATGACCCGGGTGGTGGCCGGTTCTTTCGTGCACGTTGTGACCCCGTGGCTGCACCGTGGAGTCCGGCACCGTGGTGCAGCTGAACGCCTGYTCCGTGTAGTTTGACCGTGGGTAGATCCCTGGGTGCTGAAAGTCTGTGGTGTCCTGCGCCGGACTGTAGTAGTCCGAGCCCTGGTCGGGGATGTAGCTGTTTTGCGAATATTCCTCGCAGGGAGGAAATTTGGGATCCACATACTTGGAGTTCACCATATACGAACTCATGGCCATTAATTTCTGAAGGTAGAAAAATACTAATTTTTCCCGAGTTGTCTTTTTTTCCTGCCTCCATAGAGCCCTCCTACTTGGTGTCAACTGAATAAAGTTAGCGAACCATGTGACCAGATCGGCCAATGGAGGTGATGCTGGTCCAAACCCGAGTAAACACACAACTAAATGTATTTTACCCAAATTAAGACACACCATAATCAAACAAAGCAAACACTGAGTCTGTGGGAATTAAAGTAAAACCAAAATATTTTTAAAATGCATTTTCTTGGTTAAATAACTAAAGTACTTAAACTAAAACATGCATGTATACAAAACAAATATTTGGGTGCGTTTCAGTGTTTTTCCTTAACTTTTTTAAAGACATATGAGTTTAGAATAGTGTGTCTTGAAGGCATGGTGTTCAACAGAGAACTCAACAAAAGCTACAAAAAGCCCTTTGGCATAAAAGCAGCGAATAATGACTGAGGACAATTGATGAACACTGTCTTTGTGAAGAAGGGGTCATCCAAAAGTTACACGAATCTCATCCCTTCATCTGCTCCCCTCCTTTTGGAGGAGAAAAAAAAAGTGGAAGAAAACAGTCTCAGGAGGAGCCAGCAGCAGCCTCTGGAAATCAATAATGTATGGAGACTGAAGCAAAAAGCTGGTTTTAGCTGAAGGTTCTTTTTTTTTAGGAACGTTTTAAAAAAAACACTAAATCCATTTTGGAGTTTCATCCCATGAATGCAGATAAAACAGCAATGTTCTTGATTGAATAAGTGCTTTAACACTTTGCAGCAGAGGCAACAGCCCCCTCCTCTGATGCTCTGCTGTCAGATTTAGCTTCACTGTAACAAGCAGGCCTCAAAACACCAATCAATGCGTGGATCGACGTCTTTTCATCGACCATATATTCCCCTAGAAACGAATCTGTGACTTTGGTTCCTTCACACAAATTCGGTTCTACAGGGTATATATAGACGACGGGAAGCCACTTGACTTTTCTGAACACAAGTGGCTCACAGAAACATCAAAGAAACTTCAGGGAATTAGACACATATTGAAGTGAACAAACGAAATGACTCCAAATGGTTCGATGGTTTAATCCAAWTTTTCACCCTCCTAAAGTTGAGGTTTTTTGGATTTAATCTGCTGAATCTTGTGAGCATGTCTGCCTCGGGCTCCTTTTTGTCAATTCAGGCAAAAGAGAAAAAAAGTGTAACGTTTTTGACTTTTGTGAACCCAAGTTCACATCCAGAAAAAACAAACAAAAAATATTTTCAACTCTATTAAAAAAAAAAGGTAGTTAAACTGGGATTTATGCAGTGTTTGGGAGACAYTGAAGCTCCTGAACAGATAAGCTGCTCGGATCATTCTGAGCTTATCTGAGCTCACCGAAACATGAGGGCTAAAGGCCACCGAGGTCAAAGCGAATCATTTACAAAACTATCAAAAAAGTTTCATTATTTTTAGCTGTTGCTGACAGCTCAAAGGGTGCAAAAGTTGACCAAATCCTTGTCATGCTCCTTTTTTTTTTTTTTAAACCGAGCTGCGTGGTTTGGTCTCCTGGCGAGGCCTGCGCTCAAACTTCCCTTTATATAAACTCACTCATTTAAATTGTTAGAARAAATAACCAAAGTGTGTTAAAATGCTCTGAACAAAAGCAAGCCTATGTGGTCGTAAAAGATTAATTATTTCAACAAAACAAAACCCACTTCACTAACAAATGCTATTTTCTCTTTTTTTGGACAGTTTAGATAAATTATTTTTAATCATCAGATTCGATTATTTGCAGTTTTTTTTTTAAAAAAAGGAACAATACTAAAAGAACATGTTTTCTTTTTTTATATAAAAAGAAAACTACAAATAAAAAATGGCAGACTTTTAGAACAGATGGATTGAAAAATGCTGTTGTAACAAATACAAATTTCATTAAAAGGAGATGTTGATGCTGAAATCCACAAAACGATCATAAAGAATGAGAAAAGTCGATTTTTACGCACGTGATAAAAACATTACAGTTTTGAGAATTTACTCTAAAAGTACTAGAAAAAAACACGTTATGGTAGTAAATACAAGATGAGATTTATTGAAATAAGAAATAGATTTGCATTCGTCCTTGCACTTCACATTTCATTATTTATTAGACGGCCTGACCTGCCGTTCACCTCCTCCTGCTCGTCCTTCAGACGGGTCAAAGCCGAGGGTTTCCAAACAAAAGAAAGATAAAGTCAGCGTTTCTTGGCACATTGTGTAAAACCAAAGGCCCTCTACTTTAGTTTCAAACTGATTTTAGTGAATTTAAAAGATCTTTTCAAATCAGAAAGTGACATAATAACATTTGATGGAAAACACCACATTTTAAATCTAATTTCCAGTTATTTATTCGTACAAAATAATAAGAAATTGTCAAGCTTTTCTTCAATAGAATTTGATTTCCTAGATAGGCAAAATAACATTTAAAAACCGTGTAATACAAACGCTTTAGGCCTTCTGGGAATAAATAAAAAGACTAGTTGTAACCCAACTTTTAAAATATTAATTCTGTACTTAAGCTAAAGCTGATTAATAAAAACAAATTCCATATTTTGAAAGTGATTGATTACCACAGCAAAAAAACACATGTTAAAGATTCAGTTTAGGCCCCGTGATCAAATGTTWCACCCTGCCTCCAAAAAGATGACAACAGGTTGAACTGACCGCCTCCATGACGCACAGCAGCAACAGGACTAACCTCCTCAGCAGCCAACGTTTTCCCCTTAACGCTGCGCCATTGCTTGCCTTTTTTTTTACAGGCAGGAAATAGTTTTAGCCTGTGAGCATGTGACATCACACACGCCCCTATAGCACGAGCACAATGATGAGGATTAAAAGGCAGCTTACCGCGGAGACGCACGGAGCARTGCGCGCTCGACGTGTCCATGCTGAAGCAGAGAAAAGCAGCTCCCTGGTAGAGGAAACAGCTATTCCAGCCCATCTGGACGCGCTCACTAATACACAATGAGAATTATATTTTGGCTTGTCAAGTCCCAGGCCATAAAACAAACTTTAATGGCGTCACGTGTTTCCTTGCAGCCATTCACAACAGCGCGCAGGCCCATAAATAACCCTCAAAGTTGCACTTACTCAATAATGCAGATTGCATTAATGCGCGCCGAGGAAAGTCGGAGAAATGAAGCCAGTGCTGGAAAACGTGACTTGGAGTGCACAGAAAACATATTAAAAACAATAAGTTTGATCAGTTTGTTAAATTAGCAGGCATGGCAACAAACTAAACTGATCATTAATTTTAATCGAAGCCACATGATCTGAAATTATGCAATATATTTATGTGAGTTGTTTGCTTGAGATGTTTTTTTATTTATTTTTTTACTAAAAGCTTATGCCTCTAAACAGAGAGCACGCGGTGCTGATTTGCGCTCAAGTCAATTTGTCTCCTGGGTGAATCTGCCACATGTAAAGGCTGATGCCATTTCAGGCCAATCACAGAGCGCAAAGCGTGTTTGTCCCTCCCCTTCCTTCAGTCATCAAATCRAAGGCAGTTAACTCTGTTGAGCTTGGAATAAATCCGAAATAAATCACCTTTCTTACATCATAAAAGGATTTTTTTTCCAGTCTGAAAAGTTGAGAACTTCACTGGTGCCTTGCAAACTGTGGCGCTGCTGACTCACCTGCATCTTTACCTGCAGCCTCATCTTCACATRAACATTAGGACACACAACTTATTATTTTCTTCATTTTGTTAACAAAACTCATGCACTATTTGTCAAATCAACTACATTTCGGTGACTGAGTTGAATTAGACCCACATTCCTACAACAAAGGACTTCATCCCGTGCAGAGAAGGTGATCACTGATTTGATATCCATGCTACAGAGATTCTGTATGAACAACATTTAAAAGCAACACTCATGGTGAACCTAACCACGTGACCCGGCTCTAAACCAATCACGGCTCACAGAAACMACCTTAGCGAGAACTGCTGGGCTAAAAAGAGACAGAGAGTTGGGCAACAGCGCCTCCTGCTGGATATTTACGGGCCTCCACTTTTCTGCTCAAGCAGGTCAAAAAAAAGTCAATTCCATATTTTATAAAGGGAATTGGCAAGGTATGATAAAAAAAACGTGTACTTCTGCCAACTCAAGCCAAGTTTTAAGTTGATTCGTTTAAAAAATAGAAAGTGAAGTTGAGCTACATTCTGAATAGAAAGATGTATAAAAACTCTGTATGAATGCACATGTGCTGCAAGCCTGCAAAATGCAAACATTAAATACATTRTTGTGTTGCGTTTATATATTAATACAATTAGCAGGAAGCACGGCAGTAGAAATCGTGTTACAGGAGTGATCTTCAGATTTGAAATGCAAGTTTTAAAGGAATAAATCCATCATCAAACTTGACTGAACAAAAACTAAACTGATATTGAGATAAAAAAAAGTTTTTCCCACAAGCATTGTCTTCACATCTAAGAAAATATTAAAGGTTCAAACAAATGATTATGAAAAAGGAATAAAAAGACGCATCCCTTCATGGAAAGCATCAATTAAACCATATAGGCTCTTCTTTAAAATGCATGTTATGCATGTTTATCAAAGTGAAGGACAGAGTGAAAGCTGTGCTCTCTCCTGTGTCGCAGGCTCCATTTTGCCGCATTGCAGTAAGGCTGTAAATACTTTCGCAGCTGCCTGTCAGGCTGCAGTGAAATACTGTCTTTGTTCGGTTTGGCCTCATCTCCAAGCAGCTGAAAACAGCTCTGAGARCTCAAAGTCTCATGTTAGACTTTGCATTAGCAGAATAAACAAAAGAACTTTTATTATATTTCGTTACTTGGTGAAATTATTTTTCCCTTTTGGAAATGGCACAAGGTTTTAGTTTGGACAAAGCCAAGCGTTRGAGGGAGAGGCTTGCAAAAAAAGAAACATTGCTTCACATGAAAAACACATTTTAGATTCCATACATATTTTTAGCTTTACTGTATCTTTTTAAAGCATTTTATTAATTTAAAATAAAAAATACTTTCATGAATGCAGCTTAAATATATAATTGACCATTTTATGTTTTATTTCACTCATGCAGCCCTAAAACATCGGGAAAAGTATTTCAAAAACACCCCCAACAATGTAAAAAAAAAAACCAATTTATTTCAGCACACCTTGCAACACGTGAAACCACCTAATTACTGCCTCGCTGCTAATTTACATGACTAATGAAACAGGAAGCTGTCAAGCACCACGCGCTCACGCGCACACGCGAGCACACGCGCGCTCACACATCCACGCAAAGAGACGTATCTTACCTATATCCTGGATATAATCCATGTTCACACTTTGATCTTTGCTTCTGCGCTCCTTTCTGAGAAAAGCTGCCTCGGGCCGGAGCTGCTCGGTGCGCAGAGCTGGAGCTGAAACGCTTCTCCTGTATCTCATCCAGGAGCCTCGAAGGGAGCAGAGACGCAAAAAAAAAAAAAAAAAAAAAAAAAAATGCAAAATGCGCACCGGCCGGATGTTTCTGAAACGCTTTTACTCGGAAAGCCGACCAGAGCCGAATTGCTTTAACACCATATAGACGCAGAATGCAAGTGGGGGGCGCAAAAAAAAAATCAGGAAAAGGGGGCCATGAAGACGTTTGCCTCTCACACATGACCAGTGGCATCCAATGACAGGCGATGGAGGCGCATAAAAAGCCTCTATTGCCGAGCTGTAAATTGTCCCTTTCACAAAAAGGAATTTGGACTGCAGCAATTCTGCACATAATAGAAGCCCCCCCCCCTCCCCTCCTTTATGTGCTCCAAACAAGAGCTTCCCACAACGTTTTTACTTTCTCATCCTGAATTATCAAATGTGAGTTTCTGCAGAGGCAAACAACAAATGTTAGTTTCCTTAAAACTAAACAAAAATTAAATTAAATTAAAAACACACACAACAGTTAAAACATTTTAATTTTCAGATGACTAAAAATAAAGTTAATTTCCCAAATAATCTGCAAATCTTGAGTTGTTTTATTAATGGAAACATAATTTGTTAAAATTCGGTGGTTTTATTTTTGGAAGCGCCTAAAAATGTTTTTATGACACTAGAATGAAATCTGCATTTCAAACAGCTTCTAAATAAAGTACAAAATAAAAAATAAAAAAATAAGTTTGTTTTCTGTGAAAATGACCAAATGACGCACAGTTAGTGTTAAACTAACAACAATAAGAAGAATAAGCATAAGAAAAGGAAGAAGAAGATGTAGGCCTGTTTGTGCGTCATTTTCACATTGTGGTGTTTCTCTCCCTCGGCGCGCTCTGTCTTCGCAGCTGTTTTTCATAAAACAAAAAGAAAAAAAAAGGAACTAAATCGCAGAGAATGAAATTACAATGTGAAACGTTTTGATGCTTTCAACAGTTGAAGGCTAAATAATGCAGCCGCAGCTCTCAACATGTGAGCGTTTGTGTCAGCAGCAAAAAAAGGGAATTTCCTTCATGTCATTCTGGTTCATCTGGTGGCAGCAGGAGTCAGCACCGCGCGGTTTACTGTCAGGCCAGGGCTCTGAGTTTCCTGTGTGTTGAACGGGCTTTTCACATGTCTGTGTTGGGATTTGATGCCTTGTAGAAACATGATACCTGGTGCTCTTTGCGCAAAATTATCGTTTGTCCTCCGTAAGTGGTTTTTAATTTTATATTATGATCACTAATGTTACAGAGAACTGATTGACCCAGTAACTAATTCGTTCCTAATTTGTTGGAACCCACAAAATGATGGCGGCAAATTTATTTCTGTTTTTATTTTGAAAATAATATATCTGCAGATCCTGACTTCGAGGTCCAGATCTTATTTTGGAGAACCCTTGCAGCAAAATGTATTCATTTAGAAACAATGACGTCACACGCGTCTAAATAAACTAGTTTCTGCTTTCTTTTTTTTTTTTGGACTTTTCAACTTCGAAATAACCTCATCCTTCCCGGTGTCTGATTTATTTATAAAATACATATTCAAAGGTATATTAAGTTTCTTTACATTTTAACACGTGATGGGCTAATTATATCAAATTCATTAATTGCAGCACTGATAAATATAACATTTATTTGCGTTCTAATATGTGGAAAAATGTGTACTCCCACATGTTTTTCTGCTCCTGTGTTCAAAGTACTTTTGAATTGAATATTTATTCATCCTTAAAACTTTAATGAGTTTATTCGACGGAATCTGACACATTTTTAAGTGTTAAAGAGGAAACGATGTTTACTGCCTTTAGTTTTAATGTGTGGTTACACTGTTAAACAGTCGGCGCTGATGGGTGTAGGGGTTGTTTGGTGAAACGGCTCCAACACCACTGAACACTTAGAAGGATAATAAAAAGTGCTGATCACTTTACGGCTCGGCATTTGGTAATTCTYGGGCCTGSTGAACGAKTTTTCCTCTTCATTGCAACCGTGCRACCGAATTAGTTTGAGAAAACAACATCAGCTTATAAAAAGAAAAAAACATGTTTTGGAAACTGGCTTTTGTGTGTCTGATTAAATGCTGGTAAGAATTGGTGTCCTTCAGCATCCTTGTTTAATAAAAGCATTCTGACGCGTGCGTAAAAATGCCTGCCCAATCAAAAAAGCAGTGAAAGTCACGTGACATGGTGATTTTTAGGCAGCAGTGGTTTGTCTGCATCMCAGAGGTGATGGCTTGTAGAAATCCTTCGCAGAGGCCTTTGTTTCGTTTGGATAAAATTATCAAATAAACTGTTAAAAATCATGAGGATTATTTATTTTCCTCTCCATTATTTAGGGACAAATTGGATGTTCAGTGTATGTTTACACTCTGGTGTTTTTTTTTATAGCAAACACGTATTAAGAGGCTGAGTGTGTAAAAATACAACTTGTGTTAATAGGACACATGTTGTCAGCATGACAAGCCGCGGCACGTGCCTTTACGCATTTAACGGGCTTTAACATCACACTGAGAACATGTTCTCTGCTTTAAAGCTTCACTTTTAGCCAGGCTTTTAAAGACTCAAAACACGGTGGTACCATTAATATTTATAGCCAAGATTATTAATAAGAACATAATGAAASAAGAATTAAAACGAGAGAGGGGGCCATGCGTAAATAACAAATTGTACAATAATATTTGGCGAATTTAGAAAAGTATTTAATTCGTTAGGTTACATTTTTTCACCAAAACTATTCAACAAAAATCAATAATTATTAGAGTTTTGTTGGATTTAATGACAGATTCTGAGACTCGACGCCTCCATGATGCTCCATGACGCCATGTGTATCCCTCCGCGGTTGTTTCTCTGTATTCATCCGCATTTATGTTTTTTGTGCATTTCCCAGCTTTGGCCAATGTGTTACATTTCCTCTCAGAGCGCGTGCTCTCTCACCGTTTGGACATTTTTTAATGAACAAACACTACAGCTGGTTTAAATGGGCTTTTGTGCGTCACAGGGCAACAATCTGAACCAAATCAGGCAGMTTGTTGTTTGTTTTCTTTCATCATTTCGAATAGGTTTCATTTATGCTGTCAGGAGCTCATTTGCAAACATTTTAATAAGGTTACAGCATGTTGTTAATTACCTAAAATTGCGTTTTTCGGCTAAAACATTTAAAATATATGGTGAAACAGGGAATGCTACTTAAAGTGATTTTAATCAAATCATTGTTTTAATATGTGTTAAAACAGAATGTGCAGAATAACACCTAAATTGTAGATGTTGGGTTTTATAACAAATGGTTTCCTCTTTTTTATTGGACACCCATTTTTTATCTTCATTAAACTTAATAATGTTGAAAACCTCAAACCTTAGTCAAGCTTTTTTTTGTCCTGGTCAGAATCTTGGCCTACATGCAGCCTTGACAGAAATAACATCCCCTAAAGTGTGTGGAGAATTGATCAAACCTGACAGGGCTGAAGCTAATGAGCACACTGACCCCCCATAGGTGAGTGAAAAGGCTCGTGATGACAACAAGTTCCCTCTATCGAGCTGAAACGTTGGGGGCATTAACAAAAAATATGTACAATACAGACTTAACTTCATTAGAAACAGAGGTTTTTGAACAGATCTGCTCTCTTTATGCTCCAGGTTCAACGAGTTAAAGAAAAAAACTGCAGCCATCATATTGTGAGCCCATAATCTAATCATGTGGTCACAAATAAAAAAATAATAATAACCTGAACAATCGTTTTCTAATCATCATCAAAGCCTTTTTCACCCGCGAACTCCGACGCAGCAAAACAGACCCAAATAATCAATTTAACATGACTTCTAATGTATTTTTTTTAAATAAAATTCTGCTTTGAACTGCGCTCTCGGCTGCCGCAGTGTTTAATTTGAACTTTTATTCTCATGACTTGCTTGAAATGGTTTCGTGTCGCCCCAGAAACAAAGCAGCCGCATGGTCTGCTCTGCTTACAGGCCGATGCGTCAAACTGCTGCAGCCTTTCCAGTCGTGCGCAATTTAAAAAAAAATAGCAGCGAACCAATAAAACTAGCTTGTTTGGAAAAAAAGTGTAATTTGATATTTTTTCTCTGATTTAGTATTCTAAATACTAGTGATTTATAATGTAGACAATACTTGTTCACACAAAATTTAACATAAACTCCCAAATCCATCAGTTTTTTAAAGTATCATTTAGCCAAAGCACAGAAGTTTATTACATTTTATTTTAATTTTGCGTAATGGGAAATAAAATGTGCCAAACACATTCGATGTAGTTTAGGATRTCATATTGACATTCAAATCAAAATGTATGTTAGCAACAAGAAGCTGTTGTTGTTTTCCTTCCTGACTAAAAAATCTGATGCCTCTTTGTGCAAAATGTGCGTCACACCCTTTAAACATGGCGGCCTTGGAGCTGTTAAAACCCTGAGCTCAGCTGCAATTTAAAATACAGACCAGGCGCTCATTTATTAAACCAGCTCATGAAAGATGTTGGACATTTAAATCTCTGGACACAATGAGGATGGAAAAAAGTTTCATGTTGTTTCCTTGTCTTTGCTTCGGTTCAGTTGCTGCAACTATCAACTGAAGAGCAACATCGCCCCCTAGCGCTCATCGATCTTCAAAGATTCGCCTATGGAAATAAAGAAATTGTAACGAGATTTTAAAGGCCTTTCGCCCAGTTTTAGTTGTTTTGTTGCGAAACACCTCAGCAAGTTTGTTCGATTACAAGTCCAACACGTGATGTAAACACAGGAAGCCATGTTTATCAGTCAAAGGGATTTTTTCCCCCATTAGTTGGAAGTTCAGAATAAACCTGACCATTAAGCATAGGGGTGATTTCCTCTAAAACAATTCATCGACCAGACACCCTGTGGACAAAAGTGTCTATACTTTCTGTTTGTCAGCAACAGACACAAACGCCACAAGAAGAGGAGGTGAGGTGGGGGGTGTAATTACTGGCCAGGTCCATAAACTAATTTAAGCCAGACGTCTGGTCATTTCCATAGCTTTATTGGACCAAGTGTCTTCCTGCTTTAAAGTAATTGTTGCCGCAGGTCGGACAATAAATTGGAAGACGTCTTCCAATCATTAATGCACTTTATTACCCCACATTTAAATTAGCTGAATTAAAAAAATAAAACATACAAATTTGAGGTATTTTATTTTGAAATTGCTTTTTTCCCCCGGAAAAACTAGAAAACAGCGCCTTAGGGGAACATTTTTGGTGGGGAAAATATTCGCTTGGAAAAAAAGT